ATAGAGCTTCTCCATCTTTGGCTGCAAAGTATATAATCAATCTGGTTTCAGTATTGACCATATTATTATTATTGTTATTATCTACAATTAAATAATGTTTCTTGTTCTTTTTTTCATTACACATCACTATCAACTAATCTGTGACCATTTTTTATTTTATAGATGTTATTCTGAAAACACTGAGCCTCCTCCTCCTCCTCTTCTTCCTCCACTCATCTTCCAAGGGGTTTCCTATCCACGAAATGCATAATTGTTCGGACCAGAGTCAAACAACCTGGTGTCCTCCAGAAGTTTTGGATCACAGCTCTTACAATTCTGTGCCCTTGGCAATGCTTGCTGGGGTTGATGGAAATTGAAATCCAAAACTTCTGAAGAACACCAAGCTGCCTATCTTTGACCCATATCATGTCATACAGAACATATTCCTGACATGATAAAGACATGGTTTTGCCAGTGGGCCTGGGGATCCCAGGTTGATACAGAGCCCATCAAGTGGTTTGTTTGAATGTACTGTTGTCACCAAGGGGTTGGAGGTGTAGTGGGTTTTATTTCTGTACACCGCCCAGAGTCATCGTGAGCTGAGCAGCCATATCAATTGCTTTAATAAAATAAAATAAATAAATGATTCTATGGCATCCTTCATGTAACTAGCATATTTCATTTATCCATTCTGTGATCTTATTTTCTAAAGTTGGATTAACATTCTTTTACACGATTTACTAAAAAAATTTCAATAATGAATTCATAACAAATTTCTGACATTGTATATTTAAGCCATTTTGTCTTAATTAGATAAACGAGGCCCCACTTAGCACTATAAACAATTGACAGGGCAGTGAGTTTCTAGTCTCAATGTCCTGGCAACATCTTTATAGTCTGAATGAAGTTAATCAGATTTCCACCATTCTTCTACAGATTTTCCACAAATTTTGATTTGTACTATACTGATGACTAGATTTTAAAAGTTACTTTTATACCACTTTTCATTTAAGGCTAGTACTAAAAATGTTTGTCTCCACTTACTTTCCTTCCACACTGCAAAGCATTCAACTAACCTTGAAATAGCTTTCATACTTCCATACAGAACACTGGATGGTTGACTGCTAGCCATTACTGCAAAATAACCATCTGTATATGCTGCTGTCATACATTCCCATATGTGTATCAATGGCACAGCCAATTCTTTTCATGGGTCGTACAAGCCAACAATTTCAAGATGCTGTCCACCTGCCCACATTTGATGTAATTTTAATCGGTTAAATGATACAGCATTTTTATCATAATTTGCAGTGTTTTTATAGTATAAGCCCTCACTTGCCTGAGACAGATATCATCTGCTTTTCTCTTCAAGTATGACTGAATCAGTTCATAACTTTCAGAGGTGCAACAGTTCTTTGTTGTTTCAGTCCTTTCCTATCTAAAAAATACCTCAAGCCATACTGACATGTGAAGGCTAACATCCTTTAACATCTTGGTCATCTGAGGAGTAACTGCCAAGTAGGGTACCTGCCAAATACACCAGTGCTGGTAACTCATTTCCAAAGTTCTTTCTGGGTACTGGCTGGCATACTACAGACTAAGAACCAAACCAGAGAGATTTTCATCTGCAAACTATTCTCCTGAGGATGGAATACAGCTGTTTTACACAATGTGTCAAAAAGCTGAGTTACAAATGGTGACATCCCTGGTTCAGATCTTGACTGTCATGAATGCTTTACATGCTCTTAGGCAAACCTCTCCTCCCTCTTTTAATTATAGATCTCCTGCTCTTATCTGCAATAGGGGAGACTGTAATACTTCCTTACCTTCTAACAGGGTTCCCAAGCTTTATGTGCAGTGGGAATATTTAAAATGTTACGAGCATGTTACGAGCAGCTTTTCCCTCTCTATTTTCACAATATGCTCTCTTTGAGAGCTACATAAATCATCCAGAGCGATGCTTCCTCAGTATGCTCACTCTTCTCTCAAAACCTTGAAGTGCTACAGCCACTTGGAGCTACTTCATGGACCTTCTGTTCATGCACAGATGTTGAAGCAAAGCCATTGCTGTTTCATTTGTTGGCCCTCCCAGCATAAGGGTCTTCTGGGTATGCACAGGTAGGCTCAGAAGACCTCAAAAGGGTCTCAAAGCAGCCATATTGTGCCTTCAAAAGTCACAAACGTGATACTCCAAGCAATGGGCTCAGAGGGTACTTCAGTCAGGTTCAGTCCTACTCTCTACCAATTCATTTTACCTTCTGCCTTTCATCTGGAAGATAGGTAAACTTTCGAACAAAACACTGCAGCACCCACACATGGTTATCAGAGAGGGTGTGTGTGCAGGCAAATGATGTTATGTGATAGAAGACACTGTCGTGCAAATGTTGTGACTTGCGTACTAACACAAGTATGTAATCACATCTGTGTGATGACATCATTGCACATGTGTCATCATTTTGGCAACATTATAGTTTGTGAAGGATGACCCTACACTTAGGCATCATTTTATTTTCACAGAATGCCTCTGAGTCAACATGGAGGTCAGAGGCATTCTTAGTTCAGTCTCAAGTGAGACAAGCACTTTACCTGGTAGCCTAAAGGCTTCCCATTCCTTTTTTAAATTAAACATCTCAAATAAAATCAGAAAACCTGATGGGCACCATGCTGGAAGACACACTGGTGCTCACAGACATCAGGTTGGAACCCAGGACTTACCAAGTTGTAAGTATTGCAAGTAAACAGTGAATGTGAAGCATCTGAAGACTTGGAAAGATTAAGAAATATAATATAACATGTAGCTATACAATAAATCTATTTGTCCTAATTAGACTCTAATAATCAGAGGAAAACACAGCTCAAAAATATTTAATACGTATTTATTACATTGTTTGCTCTTCAACCAGCATTTTACTTACTGAGGACAATGGAATATTACCTACCTCAAACACCGAAAGATCCTTCCTTCTGTAGATCTCATTGGCTGGAGGATGAAACCAGCCACACTTCTTTGCATGCCTTAGCAAGATATTTTTACTTTTCATGTATTTAAGACAGAATTCACACAAGAAAAGCTTTGATAGTCTGTTGAAGTTTAAAATCAGAGTATCAGTATCAAATGTTTTATTATTTAAACAAATTATATTCACCTTTATTTCTTCCAGATGAATTAAAGAAACAAAAAGAAAAATTAAAACAGATATTCTGCCATACCAGGAATAAAATAAGCTCCTTACATTGATAATAATCAAATGCCCATTTAATAATATATAATACAAAGAATACTCCAACCTTACATCCCCATATAAATATTGTATTAGTTCGGTTGGAGCCCATTATCCCTAGTAAAGAAGAAATGGTCCATATTTTGTCAGCTGATAGTGGTAGAACCATATTTTTGATATCTATTGCTTTTTTGCGGGGGGAATCAAGCTCATTTTTTTTAGTTATACTCAATGACAATATATGAGCTAGAAAAGAAAGTTGTTTACAGTTTCAGACAACAGACTTTTATAGTACAGAATTCAACTTTCACTTATCATTTGAACCTGAGAGGTCTTATAAATGGTCGCAACTATATTTGGAACAACAGGATGACATTGAATGCATTGTTGAATGGATTATACTTTCTTTCCATCCTCTGTAATGTATATATTGCATACGTATGTATAGGGACAGTCCTCTTACCTTGCATATTCCTGTGGATAAGGTGAGGAGTACCAAGTCTGGATCTCATATTTTCCAAATTCTATCACAGAAGGGTAACGTCCATTTACTTCTCCACCATTTTTACAACCTATCTTCTATTAATGACAGTTTTTAAAAAATGCATCAGTGTACAATAGCCATTCCTTTTCTGCCACCATATTTCAGTATCAGACATTTTTTCTCTGTATTAAAGATTGGTTGCTACTAGAACTTGGGAGATACCTTGTTGCAGCTAGTACATTTAAAAATGGCAGTGGTCACACCAGTAGAAAACATGAAACCTCCACACATATCCATAAAGTAAGGATTGAGAGCAAATGTGTAGTCCAACCAAATGCTTCAAGTGTAGCTATGTAGCAAGGCTATCTGGCCGCAGAAATAACTTCTTTTTCTTTTAAAAGTATCTAAGCTTCTTACTCAAGCTCAAATTAGGAAAAGGAAAACTGAACTGAAAATAAGAAAGTGCATAGGATAGGACATCTCGATTAGAAAAAATCAGGATAATTTTAAGATGAGTGAACAAAAGTTGTTATAGACAAAACAACTACTTAAAAAGGAAAAAAAACTTGAAAATTGGGCACAGAGCATATCAGCACAAAGAGTAAGAGAAACAGCTGGTATTTAAAGAACAGAATATTTCTTAGCTGGAGAACAAACTCATCATCAACAAAATTCCTGTCAATATTATATTCACATTTACATCTCTGAAATCAGAATGCAGATGACAAAAACTAAAGAGTAAAATCGCCCAGTTTTAAGGCATTTGAAACATTATGTAGAATTACCTAGTTTTTTAATAAAATACACACCCAATGTTAAATTATAAGCAGAATCAATCCATTAAAATTACTACTGTTAACTAGCAGATTGCACCTGACACCTGCCCCCCCTTACCTCCATTGCAAGTTCCTGGGCCTGTTTAAACATGTTCAAATCTTCTTCTGTAACAATGTTCTTGCTCCCCACCACAAACAGATCTGAATTTTCTTGTTTGATGCTTATTTTGATTTCTGTACCTGTTGTTTAAAACCAGCAGAGAATTTCTTCACCAACATGATGGCAAAAAGTGCCTTAAACTAACAGAATGGAACTCCTGTTCCTCTTCCTGGGCAGTTACAGCTTTAAAACCCTTGAATCTTCCACTGAAATAGTAAATCTATCAATTTTAAATACCTTGACAATTAAGAACACTGTGCAAGTATTTAAAAGATGCTGCCAAGGTCATCTGTAACTTCTGTTACGATGCTCATTATACTTTCATGCTGTACTTCATACTCATGAAATTCTAAATATAAAACTGCATCATACAATTGTGATTTATTCTAGCACATTTTTCCAGCATTAACCTACTCTTAAAAGAATATCAAAAGTAGATTAGAAATAGAGAAATACAGATTTTTTTCCACAAAGAAAAGATGTGTAAAAAAACCAGAAGAAATAAATCTCACAGTAGTACAGATTCAGCACTGTGCGGCAGGATGGCATTTTTCATGGAAAAGCAATGGAGGAGAGGGAAATGACATGGTGATCCTAGTATACACCAACAGGACTATAAACACAGAAAGGGCAAGGAACATGATGGGACAGCTGCCAATATGCTACCACAAAAAGCATCAGCAACATCATGAAGAAATGCAAACACAAAGGCCATGATGTATACATAACTGACAAACAAGATGAGATAGTATTAGTTGGAAAAGCTCTTGGCAGGTTTAGTCAGCGTTAGTTACAAGGTCAATGCTCACTGCTTTGATAGAAGAGTGAAGTAAGAACAAGAACAAGTCAAGTCCTAGGTGACAAAATAAGATTTTGGATCTGGACGGGACGCAGGTTTAGTTGGCGCTTGGACCTGTTGCTTACCATCATCCTGATCAGGCTTAATTCTTCCGTCTGCCAAGCTCCCCTTCCCTGGTGAGGGGGTCCCCATCTGAGGGGTCACTTTATACTTTAATCTGCCTAGAATCATGCGCTTTTTAAGAAAAGTTGTCTGCTTGAAGTGAGCAATTGCTTTAAAAGCATGTCCTCTAGACACACCCCACCCAGTGGTGGTGGAATGAGAAACAAACCTATTGCTAATCTCTTTCTTTCCATAGAAAGCAGTATTAGACTTGGGTGTGGAAGAGAGTGCTGCTTTACGATGCAAACGCTTGGGTGGGGCATAACATGGCTGCCCCTTTTGGCGAGACTGTCCCTGAGCGGCATAAATATGAGAAAGTCCATCAAAAAGTCCCTTTAGCTGACTGTGATTAGGAAGACTGCTAAAGGAGAGTGTGCTTGACTGACTGGAGGAACTTTGGGGAGAACCAGAAGAGATGGAAGTGCTGGATTTTTGTGAACTAGGGCTCTGATCAGAGATGGGGGCTGGGGGTGGAAGTGAAGAAGGTTTTAGTTTTTGTGTGGTACCTGTAGCCAACACATGAGAAGTACAGGAGTGTTTCTGAGAGGCCATTTTCCTTGGACGATAATGCTTTGAAAAGTCTATTATTTCACCTCGTGATCTGCGACCATCGGGTGATGGTGTAAAAAACTTAGTAAGGCCATCAATGAGCCCTTGGGTTTTCTTGTTAACGTTTAGTGTAGCAGCAGGTATGTAGGTGGAGGTGATGGTGGTGATTTTGGTGGCGGTGGCACCAGGCCAGGTGAGGTCTGTAACAGCCAATCTGCTGCTTGAATCCTTCACAGATGCAGCATGACCAGATGAAGGTGTGGTACAGACTTTAGTCTTTTGACCCCTACCAGGTGACCCCCTTCCTGGGAATGCATTCTTGGATCCTTCAGCACTGGTAACAGACCTAGCAAAGAAATGTGAAGGAAAAGGAGAACAGTAAGAGCAAATAACTTCATATATGGGTGTCCACAAAACCATCCCACTTTCTTCAAAACAACAAAAGCAGGCTCACGCTACAAGCTCATTCCTTTTGGGTGGGTCACAGCAGACCTACTTAAGGGGAGGAGCTTGCACTGCGAGAGTACAATAAAGCTTTCATCATTCTGCAGATGCCAACTGCATATGAAATAAACCATGTACGTAATTTACACAATGTGCTTCAATGAATTAAACACTGTTGGTAAAGCCTCATTAAAATATTTCCCATACTATTTCAGAACCAAAATCTTCATAGGATTGTACATTTAGATAATTTTATTTTAAAAACTGATTCATTTTGATGATGATGATATAATAAACATCAGTCTTGAAGTAAATATTGTTAGACACATCAGAGTTTTTGAAAGAAATAGAAAACACAAAGATTGGGAAGCATTCTGTATATGAAGGGTGCTGTAGATCCACACAGAGGTAACACACTTTCACTACGCATAAATTGGGAGTCAGGTGCAAAAACACAAGCTGCCTTCCCTTCCCATATTCTCTGTTGCTTCTTAAAAACAGTTAAGCACTTTCCTAGAATAGACATTAATCATAGTTAAATTACATTAAATTAAAGCTACGCTTTTACATCCCCTGAAACCCCAAAATGGATTCTCTTTCTGGAATAATTCTAGAGTTGTACTCAAGTCATTTCATAGCAAAAAAACTAATAAGAAACAATAAAGGGGGAAATAGGTGATAAAAAGGGACAACCCCTAATACCTTGTGGAAAAGAGAAAGTCGCCTGAAAAAATGGCCTTATCTCTATAGCGGTTTAAGAAAAAAGGTGAGTACATTAATTTTCATCCAATCCCATGAAACATGTTTAGATAGCCATTGGTTCTCTTTGAAAGCACAGAAGTCAGTTCTTCTTAACAGAGTGACAGAATGTTCTCTAATAGATTCTGCACAGATACCAAACAGACATGACACCAAGTCAATCAGTTCAAGTCAACCGTGTTCTTTCTTAAGAAGGTCAAAAGTGTATTGCCGGATTCCGAATTAAAGAACCCTGCAGGGATGAAGTTACATTCCTAAGGCTATATCCTGATTTGATAACCACAATTAGCAATTTACAGATTTAATACAATGTACAATTAATACACTTTACCCAGCATAATATACAATTAGTACAGTTTATCCTCACTAATAAGAATCGTTTCATTGACTGTATGTGAGGCTGTGGGGACGTGGTGGCACAGCGGCCTAATGACGCTGAAAGTTACCGGCCAGAAATGGTCGACGCTTCAGCGGTTCGGGTCCAGCCTTCGCGTTTATAGGGGGGGCTCCTGTTTCCTCCCCCCCTCCTCTCCACCCAA